TTCTCTGACATCCGAACCATGATATTTTACTATTTTTTTAATGTACTTTTCTCACTACTTTTTAAAAATAATTATTTTATTTAACTTTATTTATTTTCCTACTTTAATTTGACTAGAGAGAGAGAGAAAGCTGCCAGGTCCAGGACTTGAACCATGGTTGGCCATGTGGGAGTCCAGTGCTGGCCCCTTCTCATTACTCTTTTGGTTGTTGTTGTTTCATCCACTCACAATATTCCCATTTTGTACTTTTCAAATTACAGACATAAATAGTATAGCTTAGCAGTTAAAGAGACAGAGTCCTTGGACAAGGGCTTGGGTTTAAATTCTGCCTCTACCACTTCTTAGCTTTGTGAGCATTGTGAGATTTTATATTTGTTTTCTCTTGTGCAAAATTGGCTAATAAAAGATACCTACCCCTTTGGATTGTTGAGAGCATTACATGATTTCATTCTTTAAAGTCCAGCCCAGTGCCTGGTATAAAGGAAGCATTTCAGGGGGGTACATTCTCATGTCTTCAGCCTTTATTTTTATGGGAAGAAAAATGGTCAAAGATACTTATTTTTGACTTTTATTTTAAAAGTTTATTTATTTCACAAGGGGCAGAGGAGAAAGAAAGAGCAAGAAGCCACCTTAACAGAGTCAGTCACATGTTGTGACACTCCTCCCTCCTCCTGCCACCCTGCCTCAGTCCTTTAGTTGGCCAGAACCATGGACACACACACATGCACTCAATGTACAGGTCAGCCCAGGAATTGAACCCTGATTCTCCACATGGCTTCCAGCACTGCAGTGTGGTGCTTCCAGTGTACCACTGTGGCTGGCCATCCTGACTCATTTTCTAAGTTCTACTCTCATAATTGCCATTTACCTTCTAAATCTTTAGACTTGAATTTCCTAGCCATATGATTATTGAACATTTACTATATGAGAACAATGTATTGTGTTGGGGTGTCAGAAAAGTTATGACACATTTTTGCATAGAAAAACATAGAAAAAATATGTCATGACTTTTCTGATAACTGAATATAATAGAAGAAATCCAGTTTGTATTTTGCTAGTTTTCTATTGCTGTCACAATTTTAGCTGCCTAATACAACCAAATTTACTGTCTGGAAGTTCTGCAGGTCAGAAGTCTGACACGAGTCTCACTGGTGTAAAATCATGGTGCTGATCTGGCTACCTACATTCCTTACTGGAGCCTCTGGAGAAGAATCCTCTCCCAAGCCTCATTGGGTTTGTTGGCTGAATCCTCTTCTTCGCGGTTGTAGGACTAAGCGCTGTGTTTCCTTGCTAGCTGTCAGCCAGAGGCTAGTCTTTGCTTTTGAAAGTTTCTTGTGTTCCTCCCTACGCTTTCTCTGAGTTCCTAGAGGTCTGTCTCCAGCTCCTGTATTTCTGTATCTCAGAGCCAGCCACTGTGTGTCCCTCCCCTGCTTTGAATCACTCTGATTTTCTGTTTTGTAATATCACTCTTGTGCTTTCCATTTCTTCTCGCAGTAGGCACTTCTCCTTTTAAAGGGTCATGTGATTTGGTGGAGCCCACTCAGATGATCCAGGGTAGTCTCTCTGTTTTAAGGTCTGGACCTTAATTACACCTGTAGAGTTCTTTTTGCCAGGAACATGACATATTCACAGATTTGGAGATTAGAATATGAACATCTTTGGGAGCCATTATCCTGCCTGTGACATATCCAGGAAGAGCCTGAAGTCTGGTCAGGAGGTAGTGGAAAAATAAAACCAGCCTGAAGGGTTAGAGATGCTTTTATGTCGTTTTCTATGCAAAAATGTATCATGACTTTTCCAACAACCCAACATATTAGAAGTTAGTACTGTATAAAATGGAAGAACACAGGAAGATAGCAGTCAGTGTTCCTGAGAGATAGGGTAACATTTGTACTGCATATGGCAAGATGAGTACTTATTGGGTAAGTAGTTGGGAGAATATTACAGGGAGAAGAAGCAATACTGGTGATGACTATAACAACTGGCCACTTTTCTATGGTTATCTCACTGAAATCCTCACAAATGGTAAATGCTATTATTACCTACCATTATAGCTTCTACATATGAAGCTCTGATGTCCTCCTATGTAGAATAGGAATGGGAAAATGATTTCATTGGGTTGTTGAGAGATTAACATTGGGGGCCAGCAGGTGGTGTGGTAGTTAAGGTGCCGGACTCCCACGTGGATGACCTTGATTCAAGTCTTGGACCTGATGGGTTGCTTTCTTACTTTCCTCCTCTCTCTCTGTCTCTGGTGAATTAAAAAATAACAATAGTAACAATAAATAAAATAAATTAACATTGATTTCACATGGCTGAAACATAGCTCAGAATAAACATTTAAAGCATGGTATTAATAGGTGGAAGAGAGTAGCCGGTGGATAAGAGAACTGCTTGAGGTAGAGTTGAGTTGACTTAGCCACTGGTTTTGAAGGTAGGAGACAGTGTTCAGAGCAACTTCGGGAGCTGTTTGGTTTGGAAGCTTTCATGGAGGTTGCTGTTGTTCAGTATTGTAGGAGGAGGACCAAGGGTTTTGTTTGTTTGTTTTTGGCAAGGGCGGGGCTTTGAGAAGACTAAGGGTTGAATGAGTTCAGGGGGTACTTGTGGAAATATTCTATTGAAATTAAATGATAATCTAAGTACTGTTGCTTAAACACTCAGAAGAGAGATCAAAGATGAATTTGTCACTGTTTCCTAAAATTTATCATGTCTAAATGAAATTTACCCATCTTCTGAAACTGGTTTATCATCTTCCCTTTTTTCATCATTCTTTCATTTTCCAAAACTTAACGTTTTTTTAAAAAAGTCCTGACTCCTAGCTCTCCATATTCAGTGAGGGGCTGGTGATGTTTGACAGCCAGCTCTCTGGAGGGGAAGAAAAAAGCCTCATTCACAGTGTTCACTGATTACTGTGGTGTAAATATTCCCATCATGGCCAGTTTTAGGATGTGGTTTCAGCTTAATTTGCGCTACAGTGGCAGAGCTGAAGAGCTGCAGCAAAGACCACATGAGTCTGCAAGGTCTAAGACAAATACTTTTGGGCCCTTTGTTTGCTTGCCCTCTTTTGCCATAGTATCTCCAAAATAACAAACTTTTCATGTGGTTTAATAGCTCCCTCACTAGTTTACTCCTTCTATCAGGGTAGAAGTGAGGTGAGTAGTTCAAGAGAGCATTGTAGAAGGTTGTGAGGACCTTGAGGTCATTTTATGAACGTTAGAAATTGAGAGGAATGACGTGATCTAGCTTATGTTTTAAAAAGAAAACTCGGGGGGTTGAGAATAGACCATAGGGCAGCGAACAGGGAGATGGTTGGGGGAAGGCCACTGTTGTAGCTAGCTGAGGGTTAGTCTTTGTCTGGATCTGGGTAGCAGCTGTGGAAGTGGTCAGGTGAGCTCAGATTGTGGATCCATTTTGAAAACAGAGCTGACAGGATTTGCTGATGGGAAAAAGAGATGTTGAGGACAAGTCTAGCATAGAGAAACAGCAGTAAAATGATTCCTTAGGCCAGTACCTGAATTAGTAGTTGCTTTATGAAAGGTTTTAGGAAGAAAATTCAGTGACTTTTATTTAACTGCTTTCTCTCAATCAGTTTTTCCATGAAGAAAAATTCTTTATCTAAAATAGTATTTACTTTTAAGAACTGCATTTAAAATAAATCCAGGGTCGCTGTGTGTAGGCGCAGGTCATGGGCCGCATGTCAGCCGGCCCAAGGGGCCCTCTCTAGCTAGGTAAGGCCGCTCACCAGGGCCTTGGAGTCTGTGCTGCCATGGCTAGCCAGTTGCAGGGGATTCAGCAGTTGCTGCAGGTGAGAAGCGGGCTCCCGAGAAGGTATCCAAGACCTGCAAGTGAAAGAACTGGAGGCTGAAGCAGGCCAAAGAAGCAGTTCAGGCTGAAACTGAACAGTACCATCTGCAGAGGGAGAAAGAATTCAAGACCAAGGAAGCTGTGGCTCTGGGATCCCACGGTAGTTGCAGCACTGAAGTGGAGACGGAGACCCAGGAGAAGATGGCCATCCTCCAGAACTACTTCCTGCAGAACAGGGACGAAGTCTTGGATAACCTCTCGGCCTTTGTCTGCGACATCTGGCCAGAAATCCATGAAAACTACCGCATAAATGGATAGGAGAAGAAGGAAGTGCCTGTCCCATGGATTGGCATCTTAGATGCCCTCATGGAATATGAAGCATTATGGAGCTCCACTTATATTCTAGGGAAAGTCATTAAATTATTTCTGTACTTTATATAGCAGGTCCTTTCAGTTTTTACAGAGTAGCAAATCTAGCTTCTTTGTATAGATTTAGAACTTACTGAAAGAATTCATCTTTTACCTCATATTTCTTAGAAATTTAATGGGTATATGTTGTTTTCCTATGCCTGTAGCTCAAGCAACACATATCTCAATGTTAACTTTTTATGTTTTAGATCTAGTAGAGAAGGAATGTCTTTGAAGAAAGAAAGGGATTAAATATATGTGTATATATATATATTTCCCCAAGTGCTTTCTTAAAGGTCAGAGGGCTTTATTTATGAAAAAGTAGTGAGTAGTTACTTGTAACCTGTGTGAAGCAGCAGCCAGCCTTAAAGTAGTATTTTCTGGCTAAAGGATAGAATAGTGAGTACTAGTGTTATTGTTTGGGCTGCCTTTAGTTTCTTTTAATCAAAATAGTAGATGATAGAATTCACGAACTTGTTATGTGTTATTACTTGGTATACTGATATCATTTAAAAGTAAAAGACTCTTTGTCATAAAAAAAATCCAGGAAACCTATTCATTCTAAAATATGGTATTTTTAGAAAAAAAAACAATAATAAATCCCATTTTGGGTGAGACTTTTGATGCTGTGATTTGGTGATTGAAAAAAATCTCTTCAGAAATTAACAATTTGGGGGAGTCAGTTTTCAACCTCTGCCCCTCAAAATCCTTCAAGTTTAATTTGCACAAGTTAAGAGCTAATGTTTCATTGTATTTTGAGTAAAGTATTATGTATGTCTTTTATGTAGGTTTTACTTGTATTGGACACAAGGACAGAGCAGACATTCATCTTAAAAGTAAGTAGAATTTGCATGTTTAATGAATTAAAAATTTTACTTTTAAGTCATGCTTTTGAAAGGAAAGATATTTGATATTTTATTTCTTGAATGATTGAATGTTCTTTTTATGTTTTATACTTTTTAAAATTTTTGCCATAGAGCATATGTGCTCAGAGAGAGACAGATAGAAGGAATGTGAGAAATTACTCCCTAGGAGGGATGGTCACACCTTGATCCCATATCCTCCATTCTCTTCTTGGGATTTTGGACATGTACGCACACATTCCTAGTGTGTTCTACAAGCTGCCGGGTCTGGGACTTGAACCATGGAGTCTGCCATGTGGGATCAAGCGCCTTAATCACTACACTACCTGCTAGCCCTGTTTCCCCCCACCTCGCCGCCCCAGATTTTTGCCATAGGGTGAGTGTGCTTGTTGGAAAGAGAGACAGAGAGAGGGAAAGTGAAAAATAACGCCACCCCCTGGGTGGGGTATGGCCACGACACAGTCCCTTCTCTTTCATTCTCCTTTTGTGATTTTGGTCATGCATACACAAGCACCTAGTGTGATTTTCTTTTTCTTTCTTTCTTTTTTTTTTTTTGAGAGAGAATTTTGCTTTAGGGTGCATGTGCTCGCCAGAAAGACAGAGAGAAACAGAGACAGAAAGTGAGAAGTCACCCTCCAGGGTAGATGGCCATGCTGCAATCCCTTCTCCTCCATTCTCCTCTCAGGATCTTGGGCATGCATTGCACACGTGCCCGACGTGAGTTTAAGCCACTGGGTCTAAGACTCAAACTGCAGTCAACTACATGGGAGTCCAGTGACATAGCCATTACGCCAACTGCTGTTCCCCGCCCCCCCGTGTGATTTTCAAACCACTGGATATGGGACTTTAACTGAACAGTCACTCGTGTGGGATGCAGTGTCTTAAACACCATGCCCCAGATCCTGAATGTTCTATTGTGTTTGTAGTGATTTGTATTTATTTTTCTTTCTGTTCTTCCATCACATTTAATAAATACTTTGTAGCATTTATTTAAAAAGAGATTTATGTTATAGAGTATGGAGGAAATAATTTGGTTAAGTTGAATAATTTGTTTGCTGTTTAAATGTGTGAGTGTAGTTTAAATGCATTTCAAATACACTTTGTACAATTTGTGAGGATGACATACAGTCTCGTCTTTCATTATGACTATGGTTCTTTTTCTTTAAAGAGAGATTTTTGCTATAGGGTGTGCACTCACTGGAGAGACATAAAGTGAGACACCCCCCCGCCCCCGGGTGGTGGCCATGCTGCAATCCCTTATTCTCCATTCTCCTGTTGGAATTTTGGCGTGAGTTTTAAGCCACCGGGTCTGGGACTCTAACTACAGTCGACTACGTGGGAGTCTAGCACCCTAATCATTATGGCATTTTCTGTTCCCATGACTATAGTTCTTAAGAGCTGAAGTTTTACCTTAAATTATTTTCCTTGTGTTTGAAAAGGGTATGATCTATACCCTGATCCTCTTTTTTTATCTAAATTCAATTTTGATTCTATAGATAATTGGGTTTATAACTAAATGAATAAAGAGAGAACAAAATTTCACTTTTTCAGTTTTGTAATTGTATTTGGAGTGGATTGTGATGTACATGTTCTAAAAAATCCTAACTTTGAATATTTCTGTAGCATCCAGAAGGTGAATTGATTAATTTTCTATTTCTTTTCCTCACACTTTTTCTTTTTGCTGATAAGGCATGACAGTAGGTCACATTGACACATACCGAAACACATTTCTTCTTATGAATATACTTAATCGCTGACCTTTCCCCAGTTTTTAAAACTAAGGTATAACACCAGAAAACACACAGACCTTGTTCCTTCGGAGAAGACTTCATAGTTTTTGCACTGTTTTGAAATAGAATTTAAAAATTGCCTGTTTAATCTAGGAGTACCTTCATGTGTCAGGCATTTGAATTGATTTCACAATGTCCACCGCTGTAAAGATATACATAAGTAAAATAAAACTTAAGAAAAGGTCATAGGGAAATAACTGTGTGTCATCCTGATGACTTAGTTTGAGAGCATCTCTAATAAAAACACTGACCCACGTAATTGATTTTAATGGCAGCTTTGTGGCATCTTCCGTTCTCTGGATTCACGCCAGATGCCATCAGCAGAGCCTCCAGGGACTGAGGGGCATAGAGCAGCAGATGAGTGGTTTCTCTGAAGCCCAGAGTAACTGGGATAGATTAGTTTGGTTGATAAACACAGAGCACAGCAGGCTCCAAAGGCAACTGAGGGTACAACTGACCTTTTTGTTCTCTGTCAGGGTCTAAGGAAAAGCAGTGAATACAGCAGGAACAGAAAGACCATCATCCCCCGCTGCGTGCCCAACATGGTGTGTCTGCACAAGTACATCATCTCTGAGGAGTCGGTGTTCCTTGTGCTGCAGCACGCAGAAGGTTGGTTTGCAGTTTAGATTGTTTACGGAGTGAAGGCTGTCACCCACTCAGCTCTTTTTATTTCTGTCATGTCCTTCTTTCTTCCATCATCACATGAGCAAATGAAATACACGAAACACATGCAAGATACTGTTTCCTATGGCTCTCTGCTCCTCCTCCCTCCTTTGAGCTGTGAGGGAAAGCGAAAACCCAGGTGAACAGCAGATCGCGTTTGCACTGTAGACCAGTCTCAGATAAACTTAGCTGCTTACTTTCTCACAGAATTTATCTCATGCAACGAGAGCTTCAATGTAAACGTGTGTGCTAAGTGGGCTAGGTTTTATTTTAGAGATTTTATTTTGTTCTCTTATTCTCTGCCAAAGATGCATTTATGTTAGATGACTAAAAGGAAAAGCATCCCCCGAAGAATTAATTAATTACCGCCTTTCTTCCCCCCTTTCTTTTTTAGAAGGCAAGGGTGTTTACTTAACATCTGACATTACCTAGTTATTCTGATCTGGGTTTTTATGAACGCAGCCATTGGCATCACATATGGGTACAAAGCAGAGGCACGCTGCTCTGCCTTCAAACTATTCATGAAATCCCAGCTCTTCGTAGAGAGAACAGGTGGCAAAAAATATTATGTTTTGATTTGTTTTTGCCCTTTCACATCTAAATTTAAATAAATAGCCTTTTATTTAGAATGACAGAGTACTGCATATAAATATACCTTCACTAATAAATATTGCCTTTTGACTTTTAAGAGGTGCTCTTAAAATAGTAAGAAAATTCTTACTTTCCATATTTCATGGAGGCATTATCATCTCTGTATAACCAAGAATAAAAACTATTGTGCTTTACTAATAGACATAACATTTGATTTTAATACAGTTTTCCAGGAAAAAGAGTCATTGCTTTCTGGCATGAGGTCTCTTATGATAACTAATGCAAGATTTTTGATGGGGGCAATAAACTATTAATATTGTTTATTATGAAGTACAGCACCAGATAACTACAGATGGAGGGAAGACCTCCATATGCAGTATTTAATAGGAAATTCAGAAGGGGCTCCATGGTCTCTCAGGTATTAAGAGAGTTAATTGCGTGTGTGAATTGGATAACTAATTCACCTTTGTTCAGACATTATAGACAGCTTTTATCTGAGGATACCAGTGCATTACAGACATTATTGAATTAGAGGTCATGTCATCTGATAGCGAAATACAGCCACCTCTGGTGTGGAACAAAATAACTTGCGTAGTAATAATCCATAATAATTTAGAACAAGGTCAGTAGGATGAATGTAATTATAGTCAATATTCTATTACCCAGTGTGGATTATTCATGTTGGAGATTATTTTCAATCCTAGTTTACCTCTGTTATTTGTAGCTGTATCTTCTTGTCTTTCTTCTTTCTTCTTCAAATCTTATCTCAATTTTTTTTGTTTTCTTTTTGCCTTCCTTTATCTCTTTATTTTTTTTTAAAGGTTTTTGCTGTAGGGTGAGTGTGCTTACCTAAGAGACAGAGAGAGACAATGAGAGGAAAAGTGAGAAATCACCTCCCAAAGGGATGGCCACGTTGCAGTCCCTTCTCCTCTGTTCTCCTCCTCCTGGGATTTTGGGCATGCATACACATGTGCCTGGCATGAGTTCCAAGCTGCTGGATCTGGGTTTGAACTATAGTCGGTCACATGGGAGTCCAGTGCCTTAACTATTACCCTACTTGCTGCCCCCCACTTATAAAATTCTTAACAGTGATATTTCAACTGATTTTGTTTTTATGTTATAGAAAATTTTACAATGTCTTAAAAAGACATTGGGAACCAGCAGTTAGCATAATGGTTATGTTGCTGGACTCCCACGTAGTCGACCGCGGTTCGCGTCCCGGACCCGGTGGCTTAAAACTCACGCCGGGCGCGTGTGCGTGTGTGCCCAAGATCCCGAGAGGAGAATGGAGGAGAAGGGATTGCGGCGTGACCATCCCCCCTGGGGGGGGATTTCTCGCTTTCTGTCTCTATGTCTCTCTCTGTCTGTCTGGCGAGCGCACGCGCCCTATAGCGAAAATCTCTCAAAAAAAAAAAAGACAGATATATGATTCAACTTTTCTACTATTTAGGCCATTTTTTTTTTTTTTTTACCAAGTCTCTCTTCCTTTATTTTTGACCAAACCAGACTTCGAATGATCCCATGACTTGGAATTTTTCCTAGATTATTTAAACCTGAGGGGAGGAGCTCTTTTGACTGTTCACTTCAGGTGTCTATTTTTTAGTTTTAAGAAAGTTTTATAATATGAAGATAGTAAATTACAGTGTAATATATAGGAACTCCGGATTCATTTACTATTTAACAAATCTATTGAGAAGGTAGTTTGCATTTTGTTTAATTTACTTTTTACTTAAATTTGTTTCTTCATTGCTAGAGGGAACATACCAGACACACAGAGAGAAAGAACCCCCTCCCCCGCCATGAGGCATGGTCATGCTTTAATCTTTGTTCCTCTATTTCTTTATCCTGTCAGGATTTTGAACACATACATGCTTGGCATGTTTTTCAAGCCCCCAGAACCTTGTGGGATCTGGCTTCTGATACACTATGCTCAACGACTGTGTTACAGAACTAGCTCTTAAAAAAATTATTTTTAATGACATAGGGTACATGCACATCCATGAGAAAGCACCCCCCGTGATGCCCAGTCATGCTGCAATCCTTTTGCCTTCCATTCTACATCGTGCCAGGGTCCTGGGCCCGCGCGTGTGCTTGACACACATACTCAACTTGTTTTCAGGTCACCATAGCTGGGACTTGACATGTGGAATACAGCTCTCCCTGTGCAGTGCTTAACTTCTGTGCTAAGGGGCCAGTCCATTTTGCTCTGTTTTAGATGAACAAAAGACGGGAGAAGAGCCGCCTTTTTCAAATTTAAATTCTTATAGGAATCAAACAGAAAAACTGACAGCAAGAAGATACTGGATAATAATAAGGTGCATACTATCTTTTTTTTGACTGTAGGGCGCTTGTGCTCTTTGGAGCGATGCAGAGAGATGACAGAAAGTGGGAAATTGCTCCCTGGAGGGATGGCCACGCTGTATATAGTCCCTTCTCCTCTCGGGATTTTGGGCATGCATGCACATACACCGGGAGTGAGTTTCAAGCCTCTGGGTCCGGAATTTGAACCACAGTCAGCCATGTGGGAGTCCAGTGATGTAACCATTACATTGTCTGCTGTCCCAGAGTGGATATTATCTTTAACACAGAGAGGTCTAATAGAGAACAATTTAGGGACTATTCTAGATTAGGTAGGCAAAGGAGCCCTATTGGAGAAGATGACATGTAAGTGGAATTCTGGCTTTTTTTTTTTTTTTTTTGGGGGGTTTTTTTTTTTTTTTTTTTTTTGGTGTGGTGT